GTAGCAAGAGTAGAGACGATCAGATTTCTTATCAAGCTTGCAGCCGCACATGGATGGCAGATACATCACCTCGACGTAAAGACGGCCTTTCTTCATGGAGAGCTTAAAGAAAATGTGTATGTTTATCAACCAGATGGTTTTGAGATCAAGGGGAGTGAAGAGAAGGTGTACAAACTAAACAAAGCATTATATGGTTTAAGACAAGCACCGAGGGCATGGAACAACAAGCTTAATAAACTTCTTGTAGAGCTGAAATTTACCAAGTGCAGCAAGGAACCTACCGTATATCGAAAACAAGTTTGTGAGGATCTCTTGATCGTGGCTGTTTATGTTGATGATCTCTTGGTCACAGGTACAAGCTTGGAAGTGATAAGTCAGTTCAAAACAGAGATGTCTTCTAGCTTTGAGATGAGTGACCTCGGAGTATTGTCATACTACTTAGGAATCGAAGTAATACAAAACAATGAGGGAATTACTTTGAGTCAAACCCGATATGCACACAAGATCTTGGAAGAAGTTGGTATGAAAGACTGTAATCTTGTGCATACTCCGATGGAAGTAGGTTTAAAATTGTCCAAGTCACAACACGAGAGAGAAGTTGATGCAACGACTTATCGGAAACTCGTCGGATGCTTTAGATATCTGTTGCACACAAGACCAGACCTATCATATGCTGTGGGAGTCTTAAGTAGATATATGCAAAGTCCTAGGGAGTCACATTCAGCAGCAATGAAGCATTGTCTTAGGTATCTCAAAGGAACAACATCGCTTGGTTTAGTTTACAAGAGATGCACAAGCATACCCAATCTCGTTGGCTATAGTGACAGTAGTCATAATGTTGATCCGGATGATGGTAAAAGCACGGCTGGTCATGTGTTCTACTTTGGAGATAGTCCAATATCATGGTGTTCACAAAAGCAAGAGACTGTTGCATTATCTTCATGTGAAGCGGAGTTTATGGGAGGAACCGAGGCAGCCAAGCAAGCCATTTGGCTAGGAGATCTTCTAAGTGAAATCACAGGAAACTTGAGTGAGAAGGTAACCATACGGATAGACAACCGATCCGCCATTGCTATCACTAAAAATCCGGTGTTTCATGGGCGTAGTAAGCACATCCATAGGCGTTATCACTTCATAAAGGAGTGTATTGAAAATGGCCAAATTGATGTTGAACATGTTCCGGGGAGTGAGCAAAAGGCGGACATTTTAACTAAGGCACTTGGAAGAATCAAGTTCAAGGAAATGAGAGAGCTCATTGGAGTTCAACACTTGAAGAGTGATGAGATCAAGCTTAAAGGGGAGAATGTTGACTTAAGCTTGAAGTAAGGTTGGAGTGTAAGCATAAGAAGATTAGGATTAGGTTTTATATATTTAGGAGTTTATCTAAATATATGTTTTGGTGTTATCTCCTAATTAGAATAGGAGTTATAGACTAATTCTTTTCTTATATAAGTAGATGTCAAGGTGTGACATAACTTGTGAGAATTGAGATTAAGAGATTGAGAGTTTTAGGTTTTGAGAGATTTTCCTAAAGTAATAAAAAAGAGTGATTCTTTTATATTTGATCTTGATCTTTTAATCTTTGATTCTAGATGACTCGCAAAAGAGAACCTCAACTACTTAATAATAAAAATATCTAGTTACATTTCAACTAGTCAAATGGTTATGTTGCTATCTAAACATACATGAAACAGCATATTAATGTTCAGGATGATCATATATATAAATATTGTATTAATATATGCTGAAGAGGACATATCGAATTAGGGGTTTACAATAACTAGTGAAAACTATAGGGACCCCAAAATATTCCAAAAATAGATTTGACGATCACATCATTCGGTGACAGAGAACAAAAAACTTGACTAAATTCAAGTATGCATATAACACTGTGGGGACTAGTATACCCACCAATGATACTTTACTTTTTAGCTTTTCAAGTCCTTTTACTTTCATTTTTTACAATCTTCTTTTCTTCACCTCAGTAAACCTTACTCTTACTCTGATATTCCCTATACAAATTACATAACTTATATAAATTAATTTAGCATATATGTATATTAGCATACACACTATTTATGTATAGTAGAGGTCCTATCAAGTATTATTTTTCCCCCAATTTCGAACGAGTAGTACGATCATGAGGATACATTATTGTCATCTAAAAAAAAGGTTTCGTGAGTATGCGATTCGTATATTAACAACATGTGTTCATAAAAAAAACAAAATAAATGTACAAAATTAAGTCCCAACTGAAACCATTTGATTGGGTTCAGAGAGGGATTAAGAAAATTAATTAATTCCTTTGAAAAAATAAAAAATTTAGCCGCCTAAATAAGAACAAAAAAGTTTTTCTCTACGACCACCGTTTCGAATCTTTCGATGACTTGAGCAAATTAGAAACACTTCCCGTCTTCTTCATGCCTTGAAACACAAGCAATTTTACATCACCAGTGAGAACTTAAGTATAAACAATCTCTTCGATTTATAATAATTCAAAAGCTTAATAAGTTTCGATTCCTTACTTGGTGAAGACATTTTACTTGGTGAAGACATCTTACTTGGTGATGACATCTTACTTGGTGAAGACAAACCTGACGTGACCTTTTCCATGGTCGTCGCCCTCGTAGCCACTTGCTTGAGTTTATCAAGTGGTCTTGATGTTGTCGTACTACTCCTTGGAGTCACCGGCTTGGTTCTGCAATTTTTGAGATTCACCAGATAAAATACGTGTCAAAACAAAAGAACTTGTAAAATAGTTTTATTTTGAAACAAGAGGGAAAAGAACGTTACTTGTCTGATATCTTCAATGGTTTTCTCCCTTCTGCTGCATAAGCAACATCAATGGATCCTTCTGTTTCATTGTCGTACTCTGCATCAATGGAGGAAGTTAAGGTCTCTCCATACGTGGCAGAGTGTCGCGACTGTCTGAGATAATCTTGTTGGAATCTTGAGTCATCTTCTGTAGACAATTGTGAATCTCCTGCTTCTGAGTTAAACTCATCGGATTGTCCTAAGCTATTTCTCTGCAGTCTCTGTGGGTAATTAATGTCCTTAAGCAATTGAAGCCGCTCTATCTCATCGTCTTTTCTCGCTATTGTGTCCTTAAGGGACCCTAACTGCAAACAGTTCGTTTAGGCTTAGTTAAATCTCGAGCTTATGGTAGATCTATTTGAAATCTATACAAGAGAAGATTCATGAGATATTGTGAAGAGTGTGTTTTAGATTTTTTACCTGCTCCATTAACTCTCTAACGTCTCTACCATCTTTGCTGCTCTTTGCAGCACCTAGCTCAACTCCAGAGACACGCTCTGCGAATTTCAAAGTACTCATTGACTCTGAATATGAAGTAACATCAGGATTCAGTTGCACGAACATCAGTGTCTTTGCTCTCCCACCTGTGATATTAGAGATAAGTTTACTAATCTCGTTCGGGATGTAAAACAAGAGCAGCCAATTTTGAGTTAACCTAGAGAGCTCTGGAGAAGCTGAGTTAGTTTGCTGTTCCTGTATGGTACATGAGAACTCTTTGAAGCAAGCGAGAATATCACATCTCCTAGAGATGAGAGTGATTTGTTTATATGTTGTGCTTCTCGAAGCCTGTCTCCTGTAACTTCTGAGCGATCAACTCTCTCACTACCCGCCAGATCTACCAAATGTAGATTTCCATACAAGGCAGAACCGGTCTTCAAGTCCTTGCCACGTACATGAACAGTGACAATACTGCATACGGAACCATTTATCCAAGTTACTTTTGTCTCTTCTCACATAGTCTAGGAGACATGATGACTATCTAGAGAGTGATAAACGAAAAAAAACACATGTTTGTTACAGAGATTAATAGGAGAACCTGTGAGAGCGGCTACTTCTTTCGTTCAAGGCAGTGGAGCTAACGGCTCTGTTTTGTAGCCCAACGCTCATTAATTCAAGAACATCCGAGGTGGATGTCACAGGGTACATGCTTGCATCAGGTACAGCAAGACCGTTTTCTTGAGTTGTAGAAAGAATCCCTAGTGTGTGAAAGTCAAGGGAAACAAAAGAATGGCAACACAAACAGAACATAGGAGAAAGCATATCTAGAAATTGTGGAGGAACAAATTTTTTGAAAGAGCAATAAAAAAGGATATTTCTTTTGAGAACTTTCACCGGAGAGTAAATCGCGCACTTGTTCATTGTATATCTCCACCATCTGAACCCCGACTTCATACGCTATGTTGCTTTTCCGGGACTGAGAGATTTTGAAGAGGTCATTGAGAGCACGATAATTTACTCCCCACTCTTCTTCGCTGGCTCCATCTGGGCCAGTCTAAACAAAACATGAGTAACTGTAAGAATGCAGTGACATCATTCATCTAGCACCAGAAAATAATAGTGAATCAATACCATTGTGTAAGTTTTCCCTGATCCTGTCTGACCATACGCAAAGATACAAACATTGTACCCATCCAGAACCGATCGAACAAGAGGTTTTATATCTGAAAATACTTCAGCTGCAAGAATTGACAAGATACAACGGATATTGATATAAATAAGTTTTCATAAAACTGGTCTCTTAACTAATAACACACCAATCCAATAGAAAGTATAAATGGAATGGAAGAAAAATTCCTTAGGATAGAGGTCGAAAAGGTAACAAAATAACACCTTGAGTAGAGGCTGGACTATAGACCTTATTGAACCTAAATTTGCGATGACCATCTTTCCCAGGTTTTGTTGGATTGAGAACTACCAACTCCCCATGCTCACCAATATGTTCTACTACAGTGTTTGATGCACCTTGCCCTCGCAAGAAAGGCCTCACACGACAATACACTCTAATGTTTCCTGCAAGCCATAACTAGAGAACTTATAGGTTGCATAGAAGATGAACATTTATAACTATGAATAGTAAAGAAACATCAATGCGTTAAATTATACATGATCCACATTACCTTTTAGCTCCTGAAGTTCATTGAAGAGCTTTTGGTTTTCAGTCAGGACTTCGTGATAGTTCGCTGCAGCATCTCCAAGTTCAAGCAATTTCTTCCCTGAAAACGCAGATGTGTTGATAAACACCACTAAACTTACAAAGTCACAGATATATCATATTGAGCTACTATAAAAAACATGTATTCGAACTGACTTACCTAACTGACTAAATTCTGCCGTATACTTATCTTGTACTTTTAGTATTTCTTGTTTGATGGACTTAGAATATAACCTCAGCTCCTGCAAAATTGGAAGGTTTAATTAGGTGACTCAAGACAAACACGACGACTAAATTTAGACAATGGTATATGTAAACATACTTGTAGTGTCTGGAACTGGAAACTGATAAAGCTTCTATAGGAAAGTTCTTTCTGACTCCAACTCCGATTCTTCAACTCTGATTTTTCTTCCATTTCTTTGGCTTTACTCTTCCAGTGGACCAGATTTTGTTCAAGCTCTCGATTTTTTGCTTCAAGGCTTGTATTAACAGTTGATGTTTCTTTCTTAAATTGTTCCAGCTCTCGATTTTTTGTTTCAAGGCTTGTAGTAACAGTTATTGTCTCTTTCTTGTATTGTTCAAGCTCTCGATTTTTTGCTTCAAGGCTTGTAGTAACAGTTAACGTATCTTTCTTGAATTGTTCAAGCTCTCGATTTTTTGCTTCAAGGATCGTAGTAACAGTAATACTCTCTTTTTTAAATTGTTCAAGGTCCTTCACCTTTTCCTCAAGGGTCGTTTTAGCAGCAAGTGCCTTTTTCCCCAGCTCTTCAAGCTCATTAACCCTTTCCTCAAGGGAAATTTTTGCAATGTTAGCATCCTTTCTCATTTGTTCAAGCTCTTTCACCCTATCCTCAATACCTGCAGTAGCGACCTTTGTCTGGCTTTCCATTTGCAAGCATTGTTGTTCATACGCTTTCTTGGTTGTCTCCAGTTCTCTCCTTAAAGTAGAAATTTCAAGATTATATTGACCATTTTCTTTCTCTAGCCTAACCATATCCTCCTCTTTGTTGTTCTTCTTTTCTTCCAGCTTGGACTTTTCTGTCTATCATAGTCATCTCAAGTAAATAAAAATCTCACGAGAATCATGTTTACCACTGCAAACTTGCAATAAGCAATTATACATGATTGAAATGAACAGATACAAATTAAACACATTACCTTTATCTTTCGAAGCTGTCTCGTAGCAATCTGGTGAAATGTAAGTTGATCGGCAGGGTAACAAATTAGTGAATGTCATGAAACAAAAATCTCAGGGCCTAAGTTCTTTATGATACCTCATTTTCTTCACTAGTTCCTGAAGCTAAGGTTTCAAGAACTTTTATCCTTGACTGGTACTTCTCCTCACGAGATTTGAACACACTGTTTTGCTGCACAAAAAGAACTCATGATATAAAACAATCGAACACAATATACTATTTCTTTGAGAAAAAAACAGAAATACCGTTCTTAGATGCTCAGATTGAGTTGAAATACGTCGCTCGATTTCCAGCACGACTTTTCTCAGCAGACATACTACACGCTGGTCATTATAGATCAAGTCAGAAGATTTACAGAGCATGAGACAGATGTGTGCATAATTTGCTTTTGCAGAAACCTTTTAAGAATGTAGGATCCATACAAAGTGTGCTCAGGATTGGTAGAGTCAAGTACCTGAGGCATTTCACCATTCTTTTTCTCAATACTTTCATCAAGAATTCCATTCACGATACTTAGAAGTGACTGTGTGGGAGCATTCTGCATTCAGCAGAAGCATAGGGTATAATTTATAAAGGAATTTGACAAGAAACTAGTTTGGAAAAAGAAGAGAAGCAGAGCTTAGGATATGCAGAAATATTGGTAAATAAGGTAAAGGCTTAGGCAGAAATACATCTAAATTGTTTGATTTCATCATTTCTGAAATCTTTGCGGCTTGGAGATCAAATCTCCCCTGTTTCATTTGGAAAGCCTCTTGGAACTTGTTTCCTCCATGGAGCATTGATCGAGGGGATGATGGATCTGTGGCAGAAAGAAACCAGTTTCCAAAATGAAACTCATTACGTCCAATGGAATGACTATGTATGTAAAGAGGCCTTTTCTTAATACGCTTATGCACACAAAACAAAGACATATAATGCATAGACATTTGACAGTAAAGAAAAATGGTACCCAATGGTGAAGAATTTTGCAGGGGACGGTGAAATTTGGAATCGGGGAGAGCTTTGTGCCTTTCATAAGCAGTAGATGGAGAGAAAGGACTACGGGGAGTTGAATCTCCACGAGAGCTGCCTGATTGATCAGTGAGAGAATTCATCATCAATCAGACCAAATGGGATGGAGGTGGAAAAGCAAAACTTATGGAAACACTTTTGGTAAAGCCACAAGTCCTTCATTCTCTATCAACAACGCCTGAAAACACCATTTGTCTTATAAAGCATTAGACCAATACAGAGAAACTACCAAAACACAAACATGATAAAGTAATCAAAACCAGGTATGTCCTGACCAGCCACATAAAAATCTACGAGGTATAAATATCACTATATATTGAAATGTTAAGCTGGATCTACTATCTATAGTCATGGAGAGAGTACACAGTATACGTAACTTATCATAAGGATCGCATTGCAACTAAAATTCGGTAAACCAAAAATGCAACCTAAAGATAATATATGTGCTTGAATCAGAGAGAGTAATCAGTGGAATTGTAGATCTTTCTTATTCCTTTTCAATCAATTAACTTATTGTCGAGATTGATTCCATCTAGTAAAAACGGATGATCGATCGAAATGCAAGAGAAGTGGGATCTATCTACGTACCTAACAAAAAAAAAGTAGCAGCATTCCCCAAATTTGTAACAAAAATGAGAGAGAAGAAGAAAATAGCTGAAGAGACGAACCTACCTGGAGAGGAACAGAAGATTGCTTTTTTGCAACAAGAGAAGATGGGCATTTTGGATATACTAAGTCAGAACAGTAGAAATCACGATCAGACAACCGGATCATTGGAGAACAAAGACGGGGGAAATGTGATCGGGCTAACCTGGGGAGATTTTCTCGGGAAAATGAAGTCCAAACCTGCGAGAAAACACAGAGACGGAGAAGGAGACGTGGTTTACTCTCACGTCAAAGAGTTTTTTTTTTTTTTAATTGAAAACAAAATATGATTATTGTTTTATTATTAATTTTTAGCTGTAGCGCGAATGTAGGAAGAAGCGCGACTATCTCTGTTTCTCCAATCGTTTTAATTCATCGGGTTGGGTCGGGTCGGGCTAGGATTTTTAATAACTTTCGAGTTTTGAACTTCAAGCCCATTTACTTTTGTCACAATAGTTTTTGTTAATTACAGATTTGTTCCTAACTTTTGTTTTACTGATTATTGCATTGTATATCAAATCAATGGATTTTCTTAAATATTATCTAAACATGTCATTATCTGTTTATTTCCTTTTTGTTTAATGGAAGTTTTCCTTTTTGCATGTATATAATTATTCTTGTTATTATTTTCCTTTTTTTTAAAAATATGAAAGGCTCATTTTTTGAGGGTGTTATAAGCTATAAAAAGCTCGATCGTCGTCGTTTGTTGCTATTGCTACGTTCTCGCTTTCAAAATCGCTCATAATTCTTTTCTGAGGTTCGATTTAATTCCATAGAGTTATTCTTCATTGTTGTTTCGTTTCTAAACGCAAGTTTGCTGATTTCGTTAACATTTTAGCCGATCTCAAAGTTGACAGATTGTTGTTGATAAACCCTAGTTTCAGGGACCGACCAGAGCAATCTGTTTTTTTTGTTCAGTTTTTGTTTTCTTAGTGATATTTTATGCTTCTTGTTCAGGGAACTCACAATTTACGCTGACTCTTAAAAACGTTCTACCTCCTGCAATATCAACAAGGTATTCTGATCACTCAAATAATATGTGTTTCTTTGAATCTAAGGCTGAACATTCCTCTGTTAAAGCAGTACCTGCTAACCTGAAGCAACACGCTGAGGATTTCGGAGATGGTGGTGCGTTCCCAGAGATTCATGTTGCTCAGTGCCCTCTTTCTTTGGGTTCTGATGATAGTAACGACAACAAGCCTCAGTCCAAGGTTTTGCCTGTTACTGTGGATGCACATGGACACGTGGTCTTTGACGCTATTGTGAGGCAGAATGAGAACTTGGGAAAGATTGTTTACTCTCAACATAGTGATCATATCCCCAAGATGCTCAAAAACGAGGGAGACGTTGGTGAGGATGAGGAGTCGCACGAGGACATTACTACTCAAGAGACAAAAGCTGCCATTGAAAAGATTCTGAATGCAGCACAGCCTAACAATGTTGTGAAGCCGTTAGGTGATCTAAAGTACATTAACTATAAGCCATCCCTGCAGCGATCTGCAGCATTCAGTCCCGGTGCTAAAGAGAGGAGCATTAGGGTTTCGGAGATGCTTGTAGATCCACTTGCTCCACCAAAGTTCAGGCACAAGCGTGTTCCAAAAGCTTCTGGTGGTTCTTCAGAGGCTGTTCCTGTCATGCATTCACCGCCTAGAGCTGTTATTCTCAAAGAACGACAAGACTGGGACATCCCACCTTGTGTTTCCAATTGGACTAACCAGAAAGGTTATACAATCCCTCTTGAAAAACGTCCTTCCGCTGATGGAAGAGTCTTGCACGAGGATCAGATCAATGATAACTTTACCAAGTTATCAGAGTCGCTCGATGTGGTTGCGCAGAAAGCTAGAGAAGCTAATTCATTGCGGTTAAGAGTTCAAAGAGAGATGGAGATGAAGGAGAAGGAAAGAAAAGAGCAGGAGGTGAGGGCTCTTGCTCAAAAGGCTCGTTCTGAAAGGAACGTTGTTGCAAGTGAGACTGTTGATGTCCCAAGAGGAGACTATGACTACGATCGCGAGAGGGAAATGGAAAAGGAAGGACGGATTCAAAGGGATAATATTCGAGAAGAGCGTCGAAGGGAAAGAGAGAAGGAGCAGAGAAGGATGGGAGTCATCAAGAAGAGCAAGATCGCAAGGGACAGAGACCGTGATGTCAGTGAGAAGGTTGCTCTTGGAATGGCATCTTCTGGAGGAAGCGGCGGTGAGGTTATGTATGATCAACGATTGTTTAACCAGGAGAAAGGAATGAACTCTGGTTTTGCAACTGATGACCAGTACAATGTAAATGACAATCCCTTGTTTACTACTCAAGCTACTCTCTCAACGCTATACCGGCCAACGAAGAATATGGATTATGAAATGTATGGAAATGCAGACGAGAAGCTCAAGGGCACTGAGAAGTTCAAACCAGACAAAGCTTTCAGTGGTCTGGTTTCCGAGAGGGCGAGAAAGAGAGACAGACCTGTTGAATTCGAGAAGGAAGAGGAACAAGATCCTTTTGGTCTTGTCCAGTGGGCGTCGGATTTGAAGAAAGGTAAGAAAATATTTGACAAAACCAGATGAGAGGAGGTTTCTCTTCAAGGGATGACTTTGGTGGTTCTGGTCGGACCTATATCAATTTCAAACGTGGCAGGCAGCTGAAGTCTGAACTACTCTGCTCAGCATTTATCTTTGTTTCCGTAGAACTTATACTTATATCTTTATTTCAATATAATTTATAATAAGCTACTGCTTCATAACCTTTCTTGTCATTGGCGTTTCATTTACTTTGATATCTAAACTTTAGCGCCTTTATTTTCGGATTAAGTTTTATGCAGGTTGGTCTTAAGATGGTGGACACTTTAGCTGATGCCCATCCAAGAACTTTGTTAACTTGAAGGTCTTGCTTGAGCAAATGTGCTTTTTTGTTTGTCTATTTTTCTCTTAAAAATGGCCATTCCCAAAGTGTGAATCTGTTCAGTTTAATTTGTAGTGTTTGATGAGAGAGAATCACTTAAGAGTTAAATAATTTTTGGTTTAAGCTGCTGGAATTCTTTCAAGTATTTGTGGTATAATCTAACCAAACAGTTACAAATTCAAGATATTGGATTAGACTGTTTGTTTCATTCATTCTTAAAATAGCAACAAAAAGGAGAATATAAATGAACTAGACGGAAATTATAGCGAATAGGCGTATGGAGTCAGACAAGGAAGAGTGTTCCAGTTAGACTCGCTGCCATCACAAAGATAGTCAGCTGAAAATTAGACCTTGGACCAGAGGATTTCAGACCATAACCCAATCCCATCATGCTGTTTGTTTTTGGTGCCACTTGAGCCACTGGGGTCGCTGACAAAGAAAAATCAGGTATGCCAAGAACCCGTCCCGTGTTTAAACCCTCCGACGACGAGCTCAGACAGAGAACCTCTCTCCATCCATTTCGTTCGCTGCAGCCATGTACGGCGGAGGTGGGTTTCTCTTTTAAACCCTTGAATTGCTTTTTCGTCCATCTTTTGCGTCATTTTTGAGCTGTTTTCGTTCAACATTTGATTTTTTTTTTCCGTGGTGGGATTCACAGATGAAGTGTCAGCTATTGTGGTTGACTTGGGTTCGCACACTTGCAAGGCTGGTTACGCCGGAGAAGATGCTCCAAAAGCCGTTTTCCCTTCCGTGAGTCTTGATTTTTGGCATTTGATGTCACTATAAGCTTCATGGTGTTAGTGTAGATTAGCTCAAGTCCCTTGTTTCTCAGACTCTTAGGGTTTTGTTTTGTTTTGGATGTGTTCATAAGGTTATTGGGGCAGTAGATGGGGTAGAAGCCATGGATGTGGATGTTGATTCTACAAAGACTAACTCGAATTCTGAGGATTCAAAGGCCGAGTCTGAAAAAGACAAGGGAAAACGCAAGCTCTATGTTGGATCTCAAGCCTTGAGTTACCGCCGAGACCATATGGAGGTTAGCTTTTCTCGTTAATTAATGTTTAAAGTTTGTAAATTCTTAGGGAAATTACAGATTGCATTTTCTCTCACCAGGTTTTGTCACCCATAAAAGATGGCATAGTGTCTGATTGGGATTTGGTGGACAATATCTGGGATCATGCTTTCAGGTAACTGTGTAAAGCATTATCTTTTGTCTTAATTTTGTGTTTGATTTCATCTCTAATAAAAGTTTCTCTTTCAAGGAGTTGTCTCATGATTGATCCCAAGGAGCATCCCATGCTGCTAGCTGAGCCTCCTCTAAACAGTCAACAGCAGAGAGAGAAGTACGATTTTGCTGCTTTGAAATACCCTTTTTTCTATATTGCATTTTCTTGGAATGTGTTACTGATTTTCTCAAGTCATATGCTTGACAGGGCGGCAGAGCTAATGTTTGAAAAATACAAAGTTCCTGCATTGTTTATGGCTAAGAATCCTGTATCTTCCTTCTACCTTGTGTCATCATTCTTTTGATAGATTATTACGTGGCGATTATTGTAGTGTACTAGTGTTGATCTCCAGCCGGCTTTTGTGTTATCAAATGTATAACTATCTACACAACTTTGGCTTACTTTTTGGTGCTAGGTTCTCACGTCTTTTGCTACTGGGCGTGCTACTTCTTTGGTTGTTGACTGGTAAGTTTTTTTGTACTTAAATTATGACTTTTTCTCTAGTATGTAGAAGCTACTAATGTTCCACTTATGTCCTATATGCTGTGAAAGTCTACCTCGTTTGTGTTTGATGTGGTTAATCTTAGAAGCACTGATGAGATTTTATTGTGTTCCAGCGGTGGAGGATCCACTACTATTTCACCGGTGCATGATGGTTATGTTCTTCAAAAGGTATTTGTGTTACTCAGTTTTGTACGAATTCAGGGCTTTTTGATGCTGTTTCTTTGTGGTTTGAGATTTTCTACTGCAGGAGAATGTTTTCCCATCTTTCATTTCCATAGTGTCATCTGTAGCTGCTATAAATTCTCATACATGTTAATTCTTACCAGTTTTACCTAAACAGCATTGATGTATATTGTAACCCCCCGGTTGTTGACCATACTATTATTTGCAGGCTGTTGTATCATCTCCACTTGGAGGGGAATTTCTCACTGACTGCCTACTGAAAAGTTTGGAGAGTAAAGGAATTAAAGTAAGTTAAACATTTTTTACACTGTTTTTTTATCTTTTGAGCCAATTTACTTGAGTGTTGCTGGTCATTTATTTCTGCAGATAAGACCTAGATACTCTTTCAAGAGAAAGGAAATACGAGCAGGGGAATTCCAGGTGCATAAGTAAATCAGTGAATAAACTACTATTTGAGTATTATTTATTTATTGAGATGGAGAAAGAAAGGCTTTTGAAAATTGGTTTTGCGTTCTTGACGTAGAAGACGTGATTTTTATACTAGGCAATGAGGCAAAGCAATTGTAGGAGTGGTCTCATTTCAATTAGGATTGTTGGCACTTGACAGTAGCAATTTGCTTAGAAATTTTTATAGTATCTTATTTACTCCCTTCAAATCCTTTCAGGTTGAAGATGTAGAAATCCCTGACACCACAGAAAGCTACAAACTCTTCTGCCAGGTTCTGTAATTGATAATGACACCTCGTTTGAAATTTTCTGTTTTTTTATAACTTGGTGAATTTGTCTCAACAGAGGATGATAGTGGGTGATATCAAGGATTCTATCTGTCGAGTTCCTGATACTCCCTATGACGGTATCTTATGTTCTTTCTGTTCACTGGTTTGATAAATTTGATTTTCATCAATGCTAACTTGCTTAGAGTGGTTTGAGAGTTGAATGTTAGATACTTCTTATCTTTTAATGTTATTAATCACGTAACCTTAATTTTCCTGTTGTGATGAATTTATCTGCAGACAAATCATATTCAAACATCCCAACTACGTCATACGAGCTTCCTGATGGCCAGTAAGCTCCATTTTATATGTCTATTCTGTTTTTTTGTGTGCAATGTACATGCAACAACTGCTTTTATTTTCCATGTATAAGGTTTTATGTTATTTTCTAGACAAATGTACCAATGTTGTGAACCTTTTAAAGATGATATAAGTTGTTAGTTGGATCTGAGTTGTTAAAGCCATTGACATATAAGTTTAGAAGAGTCAAACATTGATTTTGGAAATCTGCGTGGAATGAGTTTATACTAATATTATAAATTTGACCGTTTATATATTTTTATTATATAATTTGTAAAAAATACTTTTGAGAATGTGTGGATAAACAATCTGTATTTAGACACGAAAACGTGCTCTAAGACGTGCATAGCAATCATACAATATTTGCATACCATTTCTTTACAAAATCAGGAAAAGTTTCAAATTTTGGAATATGAGTTTTTTTTTGTTTTCAACTACACCGTCGTGCCTTTGATAGAAATCATAAACCACAATGCACAGGAAATAGAATCCTTCCCCAGTTTTCTCATCTATGTTTACAGCTCTCTCAATCTTCTGGGATAATCAAAAATCAAGAACCCGAAATGGCGGCACCAAAGCTGGAATCTTTCAGGCGGGGTAGCATGTTCGACGGATCTTTCAGGCGAAGTAGTATGTTCGATGGTTCGTTTAGGCAAAGCATAAGGGATAGGCTTATCCCACAACAAACCAGAGGCTATTCCTATGTCAATGTCAACGACGACAGTGCTTCCGTCCATTGCTGCTCCTACAGGTCATACATTATATATAATCTCTCCTGCTTTCCAGAATCTTTTGTTGACCAAATTTTTCAAGCCCTTTTATCGTATAGGATAACTCTTGGCATCCCAATCTCAACCGTGTAACAACAATCTCCAAAAGATGTTTGTCTTGAAATGTTCTGGGTCTTGTTTGCAGGTACTTTTCTGACAAGATTACTGGGCTTGTGAAGATATCACAAGATGTTTTGGTTACGGCATGGAAGATGGGAACATCTGACCCGAGGAAGATCATATTCTCGGCGAAGATGGGTTTGGCTCTGACACTTACATCTATCCTCATATTCTTTAAGATCCCAGGATTAGAGCTCAGCAGCCACTATCTCTGGGCAATTCTCACAGTAGTTGTTATCTTCGAGTTCAGTATAGGTAAATGCAACATACCACGTAACACACCAACTTTTGATTATTTTAAAAATTTAATACCTGACGTGATCTCTTCTTTGTGTAGGAGCCACCTTTAGCAAAGGATGTAACAGGGGCCTAGGAACATTATCTGCAGGAGGATTGGCACTTGGCATGGCTTGGATATCTGAGAAGACTGGAGATTGGGCAGAGATTTTTAATGCTGCTAGCATCTTTGTAGTAGGTATATATATAAATAAGATCCTGTGGCCTAAAGTAAAGTTTCCACCTTAAAACTCATTCTGATTTCTGACAACACTGTGTACCTTCTCTTGTATCAGCCTTTTTTGCCACTTATGCAAAGCTATATCCAACGATGAAGCCGTATGAGTACGGATTCCGGGTGTTCTTGCTGACTTATTGCTATGTAATAGTGTCAGGCTACAAAACAGGGGAATTCATGGAAACTGCTGTTTCAAGGTTCCTTCTGATAGCTCTTGGTGCCTGTGTTGGCCTCATTGTGAATACTTGCATTTATCCCATATGGGCTGGCGAGGATCTCCATAACTTGGTCGCCAAGAACTTTCTGAATGTAGCGACTTCTTTGGAAGGTTTATTATAAAACTCTCACTGATTTTGAGTTTCTGGTTGAAAAGCTTATTCTGTTTCTTGTCAAATCGAATCCATAGAAAATGCTTTTTTCTTTCTGCAGGTTGTGTGAACGCATATCTTGATTGTGTAGCATATGATACGATCCCATCTAGGATTCTTGTCTATGCAGCTGTCACGGAAGACCCAGTGTACAGTGGTTACAGATCAGCCGTTCAATCTACAAGCCAAGAGGATACTCTGGTGGGATTCTTTTACTCATCCAACACATTAAGAAGGGCAGCAAATCTATCAAAAGACCAATTTACTTCAGATTCTGACATCTTTTTGTTGTTGTTGTTGTTGTTGGTGTGATTGTGAAGATGGGTTTTGCATCATGGGAGCCACCACACGGTCCATACAGATCCTTTAGATATCCATGGGCAATGTATGTGAAAGTAGGTGGTGCACTGAGGCATTGTGCTTTCATGGTCATGGCATTACATGGCTGCATTCTCTCAGAGATTCAGGTACATACTAGCTTGTTCCCCCCTCTTCCAATCTTCCAATTCTCAAAAGTATTGGAAGAGACAAGAGTATGATGCATTGTAATACAGGCTGCAGAGGATAGAAGACAAGAGTTTCGTAATGAGCTTCAAAGAGTGGGCATTGAAGGAGCAAAAGTACTCAGATTCATTGGGGAAAAACTAAAGAAGATGGAGAGACTAAACCCAATAGAAGACATACTCCACGAAATTCACCAAGCAGCCGAAGAACTACAGAGCAAAATCGACAAGAAATCTTACCTTCTCGTGAACGCCAGGAATTGGGAAATCGGTAATCGGTATAGAGGGGATTCGAGTGATGAACACAAAATCTCGCACCTTGACGCTGATCTAAGCCGGATCCTTGCTCATAAATCCCAGAGTGAAGCCACGCTTCGTCCACCAACGAATTGGGATGCTGTAACAACTGCAAAGAACTTGAATTCGGCAACGATGTACCCTCACCAGCAATCAAGGACGACGATACAGAAACAGCCGTCGTGGCCCAGCCGGATCTCTATTACGCCGGGAAGTATGTTCCAGCCACCACTGGAGGAGGCGTCGATGATGTACGAGAGCGCGAGTAATCTGTCTCTAGCTACATTCGCTTCGTTATTGATCGAATTCGTAGCGAGGCTTGAGAATCTTGTCAACGCGTACGATGAGCTGAGTATGAAAGCTAATTTCAAAGAAGCAGCTGCTGAGTGAAGACGACAATGCATCGGATTTGTTAGTTTCCCTTTATTGTTTTGTGTTAATTATTTTATACCCAGATCTTGTAACAAAGATGTCGTTGTAGTATAGTGGTAAGTATTCCCGCCTGTCACGCGGGTGACCCGGGTTCGATCCCCGGCAGCGGCGATTAATTTTTTTTGTCCTTTTATTTTATTTTTGCGCCCCTGAACTTGGGGGTCTTTTAAATTCTAGTCCCTTCATTTTAGTTTCCCTTTTTCAGTTGCTTTGTTTGGTCGACACCGACAGAACAAATCCAATCCAAATTTGGTTGGGGATAAACTTATAAACCCTAATTCTCTGAAGAAAGATGAAAGGTTTAGTTTTTCCCGCTAAAATTGCTAATCTCAGCTTCCCTTCTGGCTGTTGCACACTATTTTTCCGATCACCCACGAAGTTTTTTTCGCCGGCATTGCCTTACTCGATATCATATCCTTGTCGGAAGCTGACCGGAGGAAGAAGGGGTATAGGAGGCTTGATGTCTCAGTCTCTATCGAATCCATTCTCCTCTCAACCGGAATCAGAGTTACTTCAAGCTTTACCCTCTTCGAAGCCGAAATCTCCGCCACCACAGCTGCCATGGCTCATTGTGGGTTTGGGTAATCCAGGCAAGAAATACCAGGGCACTCGCCACAATGTATCTCTCTTTCTTCTCTCTTGCTTTCTCACTTTGAGTTTTCCTTTTCATGTTTCCTGACGTGGTCTTTATTATATTGCAGGTTGGTTTTGAGATGTTGGACGCTTTGGCTGATGCAGAAGGGATATCTATGAGCACCGTTAACTTCAAGGCCTTGTTTGGGAAAGGTTCTCTTTTCATTCTCCTATCTTCTCCGTTGTGAATGTTCTTATGTCAAAGTGTGAAACTTTCATTTAAATTTTATACGTCTTTAATTTTTGATGAGGGTGATAGAAACAATGGCTAACTATTTTTCGAAGATTCAGCTTGCTTAACAGATTCTTGTTTCGTTATCCTATCTGATGTTCATAACTAGTCTGTGAAGCTGGTTGGTTTGAAAAGATTTCTAGTTCTATAATGCAGAGAGATTGAACTGGCCTTCCTTTTGTCTTTGGTTTGTTTATAACTCTGGATATTGGTTTATCTATTATAGGCGTTATTGGAAACATACCGATTATGCTGGCTAAACCTCAAACTTATATGAACCTAAGTGGTGAGTCTGTAAGTGAGCTAATCTCTCTACCTATTGTCACTTGAAATTTTGATACTTTCTGTTTATGATTGGTTGAATTGTTTCAAGGTTGGACAAATTGTTTCCTTTTACAAGATCCCGCTAAAGCAAGTACTTGTGGTATACTTTACCTTCTCTCTCTCTCTCTCTCTCTCAGTCTTTAAATTCTCTATTTAGAGTGCATATGCCGTCTTGAAGAACTTTCTGTGTTTTCTTCAGATTTACGATGACTTAGATTTACCCTTTGGTAAACTGCGTTTATTGCCAAAAGGTGGTCATGGAGGGCACAATGGGTACAAAGCTTTTCCCTTTTTATCTTACCTGTTAAGGGATGGTTTTTACTAATGAATTAAGTATTGTCTTTACTCTTACTTACGAAGCAATGTGGATGGATAACTGTAAACGTTTTTACTTTTCACTATCAAATTATAGAGAAACTCGTAATGGAATGTTCTGGTCATTTACTTGCAGGATGAGAAGCATTATAGATCGCCTCAAAGGGAGCAGAGATTTTCCTCGTCTAAGAATAGGTGACGTTCTTATATGTCTGCACTTTGACATACCAGTTTCACATTGTTTCTTTAGGTTTGTGCAAATCGTTGTGAGTTATGTTTTAGGGATCGGGCGGCCTCCAGGGAAAATGGATACAGCCAACTTTGTTCTTCGCCAGTTCAATAGACAAGAGCAGGAAGAGGTAAGAAGAAGAGAAATCCCAACATTATGTCAATATTTCAGAAAATTTTAAAACAGATAGTGTCTTGGTTTGCAGTTAGATCATACATTCCAAACTGGGATAGAAGCAATAAGGATTCTTTTGCTTGAAGGGATCAACAAAAGTGCAACCTTTGTCAACACTCAGAAATCTATGGAGCAACTTAGCTAAAAAAAGACATTGTTCCATTACATATAACAACTGCAGAGTATTCTTACCGATTCATTATTAATATATTTTTGTTCCATTCATATTGTTTTGTGTCCTTTATGAGCAAATTGTATTTATCAGAAGAGAACCACATTATTCGTTTATCATATAATTGGTCTTAATTTTAATAAAGCTTATGCAACTCGAAGATATCAAATTGTTTTACTGAAATACATGTTTAGTGAGCATAGGCATTTGGTTCGGTTTACAAAATTGCGTTTACCAAAAAGAGGTAGTCACAAGAGTTGGTTCGGTTTAGAAAACTTGTGTTTGGTTTAAGTTTATCCTGTCATTTAAACCCGAAGGTCCCCACAAGTCGAAGTCACAGTAAAATAAAGATCGACCCGATTCAACTGGATCCGCGATTACAGTGAAACCCGTCCCGTGTTTAAACCCTCCGACGACGAGCTCAGACAGAGAACCTCTCTCCATCCTTTTCGTTCGCTGCAGCCATGTACGGCGGAGGTGGGTTTCTTTTTTAAACCCTTGAATTGCTTTTTCGTCCATCTTTTGCGTCATTTTTGAGCTGTTTTCGTTCAACATTTGATTTTTTTTTTCCGTGGTGGGATTCACAGATGAAGTGTCAGCTATTGTGGTTGACTTGGGTTCGCACACTTGCAAGGCTGGTTACGCCGGAGAAGATGCTCCAAAAGCCGTTTTCCCTTCCGTGAGTCTTGATTTTTGGCATTTGATGTCACTATAAGCTTCATGGTGTTAGTGTAGATTAGCTCAAGTCCCTTGTTTCTCAGACTCTTAGGGTTTTGTTTTGTTTTGGATGTGTTCATAAGGTTATTGGGGCAGTAGATGGGGTAGAAGCCATGGATGTGGATGTTGATTCTACAAAGACTAACTCGAATTCTGAGGATTCAAAGGCCGAGTCTGAAAAAGACAAGGGAAAACGCAAGCTCTATGTTGGATCTCAAGCCTTGAGTTACCGCCGAGACCATATGGAGGTTAGCTTTTCTCGTTAATTAATGTTTAAAGTTTGTAAATTCTTAGGGAAATTACAGATTGCATTTTCTCTCACCAGGTTTTGTCACCCATAAAAGATGGCATAGTGTCTGATTGGGATTTGGTGGACAATATCTGGGATCATGCTTTCAGGTAACTGTGTAAAGCATTATCTTTTGTCTTAATTTTGTGTTTGATTTCATCTCTAATAAAAGTTTCTCTTTCAAGGAGTTGTCTCATGATTGATCCCAAGGAGCATCCCATGCTGCTAGCTGAGCCTCCTCTAAACAGTCAACAGCAGAGAGAGAAGTACGATTTTGCTGCTTTGAAATACCCTTTTTTCTATATTGCATTTTCTTGGAATGTGTTACTGATTTTCTCAAGTCATATGCTTGACAGGGCGGCAGAGCTAATGTTTGAAAAATACAAAGTTCCTGCATTGTTTATGGCTAAGAATCCTGTATCTTCCTTCTACCTTGTGTCATCATTCTTTTGATAGATTATTACGTGGCGATTATTGTAGTGTACTAGTGTTGATCTCCAGCCGGCTTTTGTGTTATCAAATGTATAACTATCTACACAACTTTGGCTTACTTTTTGGTGCTAGGTTCTCACGTCTTTTGCTACTGGGCGTGCTACTTCTTTGGTTGTTGACTGGTAAGTTTTTTTGTACTTAAATTATGACTTTTTCTCTAGTATGTAGAAGCTACTAATGTTCCACTTATGTCCTATATGCTGTGAAAGTCTACCTCGTTTGTGTTTGATGTGGTTAATCTTAGAAGCACTGATGAGATTTTATTGTGTTCCAGCGGTGGAGGATCCACTACTATTTCACCGGTGCATGATGGTTATGTTCTTCAAAAGGTATTTGTGTTACTCAGTTTTGTACGAATTCAGGGCTTTTTGATGCTGTTTCTTTGTGGTTTGAGATTTTCTACTGCAGGAGAATGTTTTCCCATCTTTCATTTCCATAGTGTCATCTGTAGCTGCTATAAATTCTCATACATGTTAATTCTTACCAGTTTTACCTAAACAGCATTGATGTATATTGTAACCCCCCGGTTGTTGACCATACTATTATTTGCAGGCTGTTGTATCATCTCCACTTGGAGGGGAATTTCTCACTGACTGCCTACTGAAAAGTTTGGAGAGTAAAGGAATTAAAGTAAGTTAAACATTTTTTACACTGTTTTTTTTTATCTTTTTGAGCCAATTTACTTGAGTGTTGCTGGTCATTTATTTCTGCAGATAAGACCTAGATACTCTTTCAAGAGGAAGGAAATACGAGCAGGGGAATTCCAGGTGCATATGTAAATCAGTGAATAAACTACTATTTGAGTATTATTTATTTATTGAGATGGAGAAAGAAAGGCTTTTGAAAATTGGTTTTGCGTTCTTGACGTAGAAGACGTGATTTTTATACTAGGCAATGAGACAAAGCAATTGTAGGAGTGATCTCATTTCAATTAGGATTGTTGGCACTTGACAGTAGCAAATTGCTTAGAAATTTTTATAGTACAATATCTTATTTACTCCCTTCAAATCCTTTCAGGTTGAAGATGTAGAAATCCCTGACACCACAGAAAGCTACAAACTCTTCTGCCAGGTTCTGTAATTGATAATGACACCTCGTTTGAAATTTTCTGTTTTTTTATAACTTGGTGATTTTGTCTCAACAGAGGATGATAGTGGGTGATATCAAGGATTCTATCTGTCGAGTTCCTGATACTCCCTATGACGGTATCTTATGTTCTTTCTGTTCACTGGTTTGATAAATTTGGTTTTCATCAATGCTAACTTGCTTAGAGTGGTTTGAGAGTTGAATGTTAGATACTTCTTATCTTTTAATGTTATTAATCACGTAACCTTAATTTTCCTGTTGTGATGAATTTATCTGCAGACAAATCATATTCAAACATCCCAACTACGTCATACGAGCTTCCTGATGGCCAGTAAGCTCCATTTTATATGTCTATTCTGTTTTTTTGTGTGCAATGTACATGCAACCACTGCTTTTATTTTCCATGTATAAGGTTTTATGTTATTTTCTAGACAAATGTACCAATGTTGTGAACCTTTTAAAGATGATATAAGTTGTTAGTTGGATCTGAGTTGTTAAAGCCATTGACATATAAGTTTAGAAGAGTCAAACATTGATTTTGAAAATCTGCGTGGAATATAATGTGACAATTGAGAATTAAATAGATAACAGAAAGTGTTTTGAACAAAAAAGAAGCATAAAAGAGAAGTGCTAGCTTTGTTAAAAAGGAAGCTGTATCCTTTTACCTTTTAAGTCTGTCTTAATATCTCATTTACCATGTCTATTGCAGGACGCTTGAGATTGGTGCTGATAGGTTCAAAGTTCCTGATGTGATGTTTAACCCCCCCATTGTTCAGGTACACCATTTAAGGACGATGAGTATGACGGATGATTCTTAAGACATTTTGTTTCTTCTCTTGACGTGTTTTGAGACCTGAAATTATTCGTCAAAGATTTTCTTTACGTTTCCATGTCTATTGGAATTTGCAGACGATTCCTGGAATGGAGAAGTATGCAGACATGATTCCTTCTGTTCGTGGGTTACCACACATGGTATATGCATCATCTTTAGCCACTGCAAAGCTTCGGTCTCGTAACTTTGTGTAACTCCACATTCCGTTTTATTAACTTGCACAGTCCATGTTGTTAACTTGTACAGGTCATGGAGAGCATCAATAAATGTGATGTAGATATCCGGAGAGAGTTGTATAGTAGCATACTGGTAAATAACATATTATGTCCTTAAATCCCTAGTTAAATTTGTAAAAAAATATATCAACAATATCTTTAGTTTTCTTGGACGTGGATGATATTCGTACCTTCTTCTTGCATTATGTCAGCTTGCTGGTGGCACATCATCAATGCAACAGTTGAAAGAACGTCTCGAGAAGGACTTGATCGAAGTATTGTGTTTTCACTCTTTTTTGCTGTCTTCTAATCTTTCTTAGTTGTTGAAGTGGCGAAAATCATTTATTGGCCTATATCATTGTTTCAGGAGTCTCCTCACTCAGCTCGAGTAAAAGTGTTGGCAAGTGGTAACACAACAGAAAGAAGATTCAGGTTTGGATATATAGTGTTTATTCGTTGCTCTCGTGAGACCCCAAATATTGGTTGGATCAACAGACATGTTTATGTATGTGCAGTGTATGGATAGGAGGGAGTATATTGGCATCACTGGGATCATTTCAACAGATGTGGTTCTCCAAGTCTGAGTAAGTCTCTGTTCTGTTCTTCCTCTGATGAAAGTCGGAAAGAAACTGTAATTTGTCTCTCTCTTGACACTCACAAGCTTTCGGATTGTGTAAATGGTAGGTACGAGGAACATGGAGCATCTTACATTCAGAGAAAATGCCCTTAAAAGCACCTTGTGAATCTGTGGAGCCTGAGAAGACGAAAACTTGGAAACTAATGTCCCTAGTTATTTTCATTGTGCTTGGTTTGATCTTTGAGTATTGATACTTGACTAAACCTTTGGAGTGAGTTAGAGATGAACAAGCATTTTGGTGATATTTCCCTGAACCTTTTTGGAGCAAGTCTTTGATTTAGGAAAATGACAGATATTATTTTAAATATTTTTTGTAATCACTGTCGTGGAGAGGTGAGGTGGTAAATGAAATGAAGAAAAAAAAAAAAGGATTATCTCTAATTGCGAATAAAAAAAGGAACGTTAACACGTGGAAGATGTTTCGTTGCTTTATCAGATATCCGAACAATCTGGACCGTCCACATCATCACGAAGGATTCAGGAACCAAGGTAATTCACGAACTAAAAAAACAAGCGTAACGAATCTAACCAGCTTTATCGTGTCTTTCAAAAATGCAAATGACTTCGAAATTGCAAAATTCCGGTCTTTTTGAAATATCTTCAACACAAAATCCTATATATAGCTTTATAATTGTGAACCACAAGATAATAATATATAAGTAACTAATATTGGTAAGGAAATGGCTTTATTTAAATTTTTTTTTTATATATATAAAAACGAACGTGAATTAACTTCTCCGCCACTGCATACTTACGTGTCATGTCTCCATATCCGCATGCAAAATCCAATAGATGACACATTCTGAATCATCCAGTAATACATACCCACGTGTCACCCTGTGTCTCGTCGTCTCTCTAAATAACGTTTACCGACCCTCCTCCTGTGGACGGCTAGAATCTGAATCGCCGTCGTGCCCTACTTTATCGGATTTCAATCTCCCTCCTCAACACACTCTCTCACCAAATCCTCGACGATTACGGCTTCTTTTTTTTTTTTTCTGGGCCTTTTGATTTTGGATTTTATAAATCTTGTTTTCATTTTCCAGAAAGCTGTCCTTTTGTTTTCTTCTGGGTAATTTGAAATTTTTTATATTGAGGACCCGAAAACAACGATCATGCAGAGGATCGTCGACAATGCTCTTGCCGTCACGAAAGAGTGAGTCCCTGTCTCTGTCTCTGTTCGATGCCCAACATTATTAGTGTCTATCAGTCCATGCTTACTGTTTTGTGATCTCTGATTTTAGAAATCTATTGTTTCCTTAGTTAACGTCAGTATATTTGATTTTGATTTTGGATATGGAAGATGCCAATGTTGAGCCTGTGGTTGTTTTCTTATCCTTAAGATGCCAATCTGATTTTGTTGTTGTTTCTTCGAACCAAGGTTTCTTATTAGTGTGCTTTTACGTAAGCTATCTATTAACTTATTACTCCTGTCATAATTTCTAGTGATGATTATTCTCTTTGTTTTGGATAGTTTCTTTACTTAAAACTCGTTCCCGATTTCTGATTGGTGGTATTAGTATGTTCTTAGTTGTCCAAAAATGCTTAAGCTTACTAAAAATTTCTTCTTTTAGTACAGGTCAGTGAAAACTTTGACTTATGAGTCTTTGAACAACGTTGCAAGATGCATTAATGGAGTTTCTGCACTTCTCTTGACACTTCTTCCGGGAAAGTCCAATATTCTTGAAGGTCTTCATGGATGGGAGCTAAGGCCTACGTTACGTGGACCTCGTTTACCACGCTGGATGCATAAGTATAAATCTCTTCATTCTCTCTAACACTTCTCTCTGGCTTGCCTTGTAGCAGTATTGTAATCCTTCCTCTCTACTCTCCCTTGATTTTTGCGGTTGCAGTGGAGTTTCCTCTTTCAACCACTTCATTCACGAGCTCTCTGTGGATTCTGATACTTCAAGCTTGGAGTATTCCTCTGGTGATGATGATAGTGATGGCATGTCCACGCCTCCATCCCCCTTGTCTCAAACCTCACTCCGCTCTTGGGCTAGTCTTCCTGCAAACTACGAAAGCCATTGGACTGAGTGGATAACGCTCATTGTTTGGTGGGTTTTACTACCTGCCCGGATCCTTCTTTGGGTACCATTATCTCTTTTACGTTTTGTTGGCAGACGTAATTCAAGAATGTCGCCTATGAGCCCAGGGAGGTACGGACATTCTTCTAGACCTTATTTTAGCAAAGCTATCCCAGGGAAAGAGCATGATGTCCCTAACCGAACTACTGATAGAAGACGCGGAGTCATTGAGGTTTGTGTGGATGAACAATACTTTCATAGGCTGCATCTCGTTCTGTTATCAGAGATTCACATTTCCCATTCTTGAAATTTTCTCATACACTCCTATATTCTCTTTTCTCAGGACCTTCAGCTTGGTATCGAGATCTTTATAGAAGCAATATTTGATTTCTTTCACAAGGCCGCACATCTTCTTTTTTCTCCATCAGAAACGTTTGGAATAGTTTTATCATGGTTCTCTTCCCCCAGTCACAGTCACATCTCTAAAGGAAACTACAGAGAGGTTTCGGATGATGTTATCGTGCAGACTGCCACTCTGGGAGATAATGATTCATCTCCTACAGAAAGAACAACAATGAGCTTATATAATACAGATACTCGGACTTGTCAAGATGTTATAACAGAGCTTGGGTAAGGAGAAAATGTGTAGAAGAGACTTCGTGCATCATTGTATTTTACTTGTGTTGGTACTCTACTATTTACCCTTTTCATACAACTTCTCTTAATTATAATCTTGATAGGTATCCATATGAAGCTATTCGAGTTGTTACATCAGATGGATATGGTCTTCTCTTGGAAAGGATACCAAGGTATAGAGTCTTTTTTTTTTTTTTTTGACATCAGGTATAGAGTCTATTATGGTTCAGCTTCAGTAAGTTCCTAGATTGTGTAGTAATTAATCTCCTCTTATGTATTTCCTAGACGAGATGCAAGGAAAGCTGTTTACTTGCAGCATGGTGTAATGGACTCTTCAATGGGGTGAGTTTCATAGTCAATTTCTTTGTTGACTTGTCAGGATTTTTTTGCCTTTGGTTTTTCATCTGTACCTATATCTTCAGATGGGTATCAAATGGTGTTGTTGGATCTCCCGCCTTTGCTGCTTATGATCAAGGTACGTGCCAAAAAGTTCCTTATTTCTCAAGTCACTTTATGTGATAAATTTGTAAATTTACCATATGTTTTACTCTTATTTATCTTGTCAGGCTATGATGTTTTCCTAGGGAACTTTCGAGGTTTAGTTTCAAGAGATCATGTGAACAAAAACATATCCTCAAAAGAGTAAGTATATAGGGTATTGAATAAGCTGCTTCTTTATGGATTTGATTTTTTGTGTACTTCTTTATTGATGGATCCTCAAATTATGCAGATTCTGGCGTTACTCCATCAATGAGCATGCAACGGAAGATATCCCAGCTATGATAGAGAAGATTCACGATATCAAAACTTCAGAACTGATACTCTATCAGCCTGCTATGGAAGAGGTAGTAAAAGAGGAGCAACCTTATAAGCTCTGTGTTGTATCTCACAGTTTAGGCGGCGCCGCAGTTCTGATGTATGTGATCACCCGTAAAATCGAAGAGAAACCACACAGATTCTCGAGACTGATCTTGCTTTCGCCTGCTGGATTCCATGATGATTCCAACCTGTGTTTCACGTTCATGGAGTACACATTCCTTCTCTTGAGTCCTGTTCTATCCAGGATTGTTCCCGCTTTCTACATTCCCACTAAATTTTTCCGGATGCTTCTCAACAAGTTAGCTCGAGATTTTCATAACTATCCTGCTGTTGGTGGATTGGTCCAGACATTGATGAGTTATGTGGTTGGCGGAGATAGCTCGAATTGGGTTGGAGTCATGGGTTTGCCTCACTATAACATGAACGATATGCCGGCTGTATCCTTCCGTGTGGCTCAGCATCTTGCTCAGATTAAACATAGCGGTAAGTTTAAGATGTTTGACTACGGTAGCAGTTCAGCTAATATGGAGGTCTACGGGTCTCCTGAGCCACTCGATCTTGGGGAGTTTTACGGATTGATTGATGTGCCCGTTGATTTAGTAGCCGGAAAGAAAGATAAAGTGATTAGACCTTCAATGGTTAGGAAACATTATAACGTAATGAGAGATTCAGGGGTTGATGTTTCTTACAACGAGTTTGAGTATGCTCATTTGGACTTCACCTTCTCTCACCGCGAAGAGCTTTTGGCCTATGTGATGTCGCGGTTGCTGCTCGTGGAGCCAACACAGACTCAGACGGTTCATAAGAAAGCGATGAAGCTGAAGAAGAAAACGGAAACAGGCAAACCCCGTCTGTGAACTACCAAAATAGGTTTATATAGAGTTTCCGGTGTGTTATTTGTAAAGATTTTGTTCAAAAGAGATCAGCTTAGAACAGTGTATATATATGGATATGGTCTTTGGTACCTGTTTATGTCAGTGTCACTTTCCATAACAAGTACTTAGTGACTGATTTATCCACAAAAGGTAGAATGGAATACACAAAGACAGACGGATGATATACAGACTTTGTATGTTACAGCTAAAGTATGTAAGAGACTGCATGAGGTTTTCTACAGAAATTACATATATGTATACACCTATACTTTTCTTTTTTTTTATATTCAATGCTGATTCAGACAAATAAAAAGATTCAGCAAAAACATCAGAAGTTTGGGCAACAGTATGGGTAAAATGGTATGTTTGTCCTGGAGCATCAACCTCAAATCCTACTCTCGAACATGCATGGGCCAAAGTTAGACACACTCAAACGTCGTATACAGACAGTCGTTTTTCAATGTCTATACGACATATTGGACAGGTTGTACACTTGTCTGCACAAAGCCTGCAAATTCACAAAAACATTTTGATTCAGTCATGGCCAGATTAGAATTTCAAACATGTAGCCTATCTAAAATTATATATTGATATGACCTCATAGATTCCTAGTTTCTTTATATGGTCTTTGCAGACGAACTGAGTGACCAATGCCTACACTTCTAAGTATACTATGATTTAAGTCTCGTTACCTGCAGAGAACGCGGTGTCTACATGGAAGCAGTACCAAACTGATTTCTTTTTCAAAGCAAACCCTACACAGCACTTTCTCCTGGAGTAAAAGACACATTGACACAGGATTAAGCCAAAGGGAAAAGTAAAATAGATAAGAGGGGAGTTAAAAAAAACCATTGTGCCTAATAATGCATATACATTTTGCAGTCTTTCATATTCCTGCTGGCTGAATTTTGTGATTTCGGTTTGTTCACCAAGAGCTGCTTGAAGTCTCCACACCTAAAGGTATGAGATTGAATGCAAAAAACATAAGTAACTCTAAAACTAGAAGACAGATTCGACAACGAACAGAACCTAAAGTTAATATCAGCACTGACTTGGAAAAGAAAAATGTATAAAAGAGAAGTAAAGTCACCTCTTCAGCAAGATCTTCCTTTGGCATTTTCTTGACAATCTCAGGCGGATGACCACTGAAAGTATTGTAACTGCACAAGCATATTATAATGAAATATTCAACAGGTCCCATAACATATTTTATTCGACAATATAGACATTTGGGATATACTAACTAACCCAGATTCTCTATCAAAGTACAGTCGCGCTTGTTCCTCACGGCTTCCTTCGTCAATCGACCACCAACCTAATAGCCTGAGTGGGTGAGAGCATTGATTGATATCTGTTAGTATTAATTTTTGTGAATCAAAACCTTTTAGGAAAAACAGACGAACGTGTTTGTCACCTGGAACCATGGTGCAAGAATCCCAAGCAATCATGGGCACTTGATGAAAATCTAAAATACAATCCTGGACCAGCTTCCCCGCGCAATAAGAGGACGATCTTCTCTATGAGTTTGGATGCGGCAAAGAGAACACCGAGGCCTTGCAGCAGGAATAGTGGAGAAAACAGTAGTGGAATAGATATATCCTTCGCTCCTTCAGGAGTTCCCTGAAAGTTTAAGCCGTTAGTTTTTTTCAATATTGTCCAAAGGCAATATGGTAATTTAGAGAGATATGTGATGTATACCTCTAGATACATGCAAAGGACAACTTGAAATACAATAATGGGAATCTTTAACATATGACCACCAATATCTTGCAAACCGCACAATCTATCTTGGTCCCTATCCTCTTCTGGAGCAACCACAAGGCCACTGTTCCAGTCAAGATATCTGATAGTGGTGGAAGATGACCCAGCTTCTCGGGCGCGTGAGCTTCTATGGATTACTGGGTTGGACCATTTTGTGCAAACAAGAAAAGCAAAGCACTCGGCAATTCTGCAGGCACACCATGTAATCCATTAAATTCATAATCATTTCTACCGTAAAAATGACAAGTGCTTCTTAAATACATAAAGAAAGACCACGACATCATACCCAAAATTTATGAATAAGTCCCACCAGCCAAGAGCAACTACATCGCCTGTGTATTTAAAATAATACAAGAAAAAGAGACTAAGAACAAAATAATCCCATCAACGATATGATTTAAACAGGCCAACAGATACAACAGATTCAGGGAAAAATTCAAGAGTGAAGGTATTACCAGAAAGCTTTAGGAGGGTAAAGAACGTAGCAACCAAAGTGAACACCATGGAAATTGCAACCCAGAAATGCTGCAGGCAACAAGGAAAAAGCATCTAAATGTTTATATTGAGAACTGGCTAGCTTCCTCCGCAATGAACAAGAGATTAGAAATCCCAAGCCTGTGTTTGTGAAAACTAGAAAATTACAGAAATTGGTCAAAAGGTCCTCATTTCTCAGTCCTAAGTTTTTTAATCGGATCTCCGTTCACGGTTGACAGTTTGATCTTGCCTAAGTATTTAAAACAGAACAGCTGAACCAAGCCTCGGCCTTAAAATAATTTATGCAACACACTTGTGGGACTTACAGGAAGTGCCTCCCATATTGCGTCATCAGTTATGCTGTCATCGTCTCCTGGCATCAACGCTCGACACATTCTGAAAATAAAGCTTGCAGTAATTAGGAACTTCACATCTATACGATTTAGCTTTTTGTGTTCACCAGACACATAGACCAAGTGTCTTTGTTTTAGAAGTTAACTGAAACAAGTAATTTTACAAAACAGTTAAAACCTCAAATTGTCCACCAGTATTGTTAACTCAAATGCCAATAAGGGCAAGAATGCAATCTTCAGGCTCACCGCTGGTGGCCAATCAGCTGCATTTAAGATAGAAGAGGTTACAATCCAATGAAATGGGAGAAAATGGAATAATATTCCTTCAAACAGAATCGAGAAAATTGTAACACAAAAACTAATTTTTGATGTCCTCCAATTTAACCATTCATATAATATGACACAGTAATCAAACGGTAGCAAGAAGAAACTTTGAAGATGAGATAGCCAACGTTTAGAAATATATCAGTGTGTCCCCATGCCGAATAGTCAAATACTAGCACACAAACAATGCCCTGAAGTGAGGAAAGTTGCAGGAAACTTACCATAACTCTCAAGGTATATACAGAGGAGTAATTCGAATGATACAAGCAACGGTGTCGCGACAACCGCATGGCATGGAGCCCACTGTATTATAGCAAAAGGAATCAAATACAAATCAGTACAATTTACTGGAAGATTCATAAGAAGTGAATTTGAGTAACATTTTAGGCTAAAAGAGGTAAGTAAAGAAAAAGAGCATACATGACGGTTTCGGGGAGCAACAGGAGCAGGAAGAGAGAATCTTCCCCTAGCAACAACTGCATGAAAAGCCCACAGCGGGAAAAACACCATCCTACACAACACCAAATACAGAGATTTGTAAATCATGTTTCTAAAAGGCAATGAAGAAAACTGATAAGATCATCAGACCCAAGAAAAAAAAAAGTAAAGCTGAATCCTTTGAAGAGGAACACCAACAAGATAACATGATAATTGTTATAATCCTCATTGAACGAACCCTTTTGTCACTTGAAAACAAACGTAGTCATATAGTAAAACGAATACCTGTAAAGGATGCAACTCTTTTTACAGTCTTTGATACAAAATGTTGTATATACAAATGAGTTTCCAAAAATTGCAACAAATGTATACAGTATAGACTATTGACTTCATTGGTTTTGTTGCTATAAACGGCAATAGAAACAAGGAAGGAATCAGAGATTGTTGAAGGAGCGAGCTGCTTTTTTCAATTCTCTGAACCAAAAAAAAAAAACAATTCATCTAAGACGAAAGAGACAACCTTTAGCTTCGAAAATTCAACGGGGCCAAGAAAAAAGCAAAAAAAAAAAAAAAAAGGGTCCTCAAATCCAAAATCCCCAAATTTGTAAAATCAGGTAACGACTGATTCTCAAACCTCAAAATGAAAATCGAAATCGAACCAATCAGAACAAGAACAACAACAAAAGTAGGAAAAGTGAGTCATGCACTGCACCCCAATTAGAAGAGAAATGAGAGCTGAAAGAGATGATAAGAAAGAGACGAACCACCATGAGCAAGAGACGGTGGTGTGATCAAGCTTAAGCACCAACAAAAGCGTGAAAGAGAAGAGTAAGCTATGAGCCGCCAAGGCTTGTATCGACTTGAGCACTCTTCTACAACTCATCCCTCCCTTATATCTCTCTCTGTCTAACAACGAAGAATCACTCCCTTCTCAAATCCCATGAATAAAAAATATATCAAATCTCTATCTCTCTTTATAATCCTCTCTAATCTAAAGTCGAGTAAATTGGAGAATACGCCATTCGAGAAATGCTGCAAACGTTTTTGTTATTAATGGACCCTTCTGTGTATATCTTGTATCTTCTCCTTCCTCTTTGTTTTTATTTTTTTTGTATAATAATAATAAGAATTTATTTGGAAGCAAAAACAAACAAAATCATGATTAATAAGTGGGTGTTATTGAATATTGTATTTTAAGGGAATCTGAGGTATTTTAAAATTTAGGGGGTGTTATTGAACAAAGGTTTTTAATGGATTTGAATTATTAGTGGATTTTAGAAATCAATGGATTTGTAAATGCATTTATCGTGGGATTAAGGTGGATTTCTATGTCATTAGTGGATTTGAAAGATATTACTAACAGGATTTGAAAGTCACTGTTAATGGACTTTATTTTTTTAATGTTAAATAAAAATAAGATAAACTACCAATAAATTATGTTAACTGTATCCAAATTAATAAATTAACTAATTGTTCCCATCACGATCCATTACGATGACTTCTCCTTATTGTTATTAAACGTCTTTCAAAACAAAACCTTTGGAACCATATTAGTATGATGAGTTGAAAGGCTGAAGTTAGTTACACGGGAGAGACCATGTCTCTGTTGCAATCATTAAATCAAAAGTTTTGGGCATCATATCGATAAATCACTTCTTAATACAAATTGTATCAGTTTCCAATTCGTCATTCGAGAATTCAGGGTAACGAGATAGGTCTACGATGGTAACTCCATTACCAACAAA